TGGGGGGATGGCTCGCCCGCCCCCGACGCCCCCCCGTTGCAAGGAGCCCTGAAACCGCCAGGAGCCCCGCTGGTTCCTCTGCTCGCCTTCTGGGCTCCGCGCTGCGGCGTGGGAGAGGAAAGAGCAGCAGGACCACCCCTTGAGGGTGGGTGAGACGGTCCGTCTCCTTGGCAACGGGACGCCAAGCGCGCCGGGCGGCGGGGAACCGACCCGGCCTGTTCGGAGTTTTCTTGAATCCACACAGGAAAACCCGAGAATCGCCACCGGCTTGTGTTCCAAGCGACGGGGCTCTAGAGGGCCGTTGACGAGGGGGAACCCAGAAAAACCTGGAGTTTATTTATAAAAATCGTGTGTTGATTCTTAAAGGTTGAACCGTCAGTCCCTTCTGCTGCCCTCTCTGTTGGATGCAATAAAACTATCGAGACGCTTTTTTGCGCCGCTCAAAACAGTTTTGGGACTCGTCCGTTTTGTTGCCTTTTCGTGTTGCCTCTGGGTTTTTGTGTTGCCTCATCCCCCTCGGCAAAACGTTTCCTTGTGAGGGCTTTTTTCATCCAGGAAAACAAAATTTCATCCAGGGAAACAAACAGAAAAGGTCGATAAGGGAAAGAGGGGGTGAATAGCCCTTCTGCATCTCTGCTCCCTGAGTGCACACATACACCCGAGATGCGGCACTACATCTTTCATGATGAAACGGAAATCCGCATTCTGGTGTCCCTGCTAAGCCACTGGGCAGACTCAATTTACTCAGTCTCTTGGGTCCTCAGAACTTTTTTTTTTTTGTTTTGTGTTGTTTTGGTTTGGTTTGGGGTGTGTGTGTGTGTGTGTGTGTGTGTGTGTGTGTGTGTGTGTGTGTGTGATGGGTGGGGAGGAAGGTATAGAGCTGGACTAGATCAATGGTGTCCAACTTTGTGCAACAGAATAGAGGGAAATTGAAAAATGCAGATTTCACAGGACTCATTCTACATTCACTGAATCAGAATATCTGGAAATGACATCTGGAACTCTGTATTTAAAAAAAAAAAAAAAAAAAATCCTTGGCCAGGCTCGGTGGCTCAGCCTGTAATCCCGCGCTTTGGGAGGCCGAGGTAAGTGGATTGCCTGAGCCCGGTGGTTCGAGACCCGCCTGGGCAGCTTGGTGAGACCTCATCTCTACAATAAATCAAATAAATAAGCCGGGCGTGGTAGCGCGCGCCTGTAGTTCCAGCTGCTTGGAAGGTTGAGGCGGAAGGATCGCCGGAGCCCAGCAGGTCGAGGCTGTGGTGGCTGGGAGCGGCCACTGCACTCCAGTCTGGGCAACAGAGTGAGACTCCGACTCAAAAAAAAAAAGAAAAAGAAAAAGAAAGAAAATCTCCTACCTGCTCCCAAACGTTTTATTTTGTAAAAGTTCAAACTTATAGAAAAATTGGAAGAAAAATTTTAGCAAAAGTTGAAAGTTGAAAGAAAAGTACAGCGAAAAACTACATAGCCTTCACCTAGATCCAATCCTTAGCAATTGCCATTCTCTTTCTCTGACTCTCACCCTTGCTCTAAGTGTGTGAGTATACACACACACACACACACACACATACACAACAGAATCATTTGAAAATATCTGTAAACATACCATATCTAACCCTATGTACTCCATCATGTATCACGGACATTTCTGTACCTAACTACAATGTAATCATCATGTCTAAGGATTTGAATGTGATACAATAGACTCTAATATGCAATCTGTATGCAAAGTTGAGAGTCTGCCTTTTTATTTATTTTTATTTTTATTTTTTTGAGTCAGGGTCTCACTCTGTTGCCCAGACTGGAGTGCAGTGGCATACTCACGGCCACCACAGCCTTGATCTGCTGGGCTCAGGCGATTCTTCCACCTCAGCCTTCCAAGTAGCTGGAACTACAGATGCACACCACCACACCCAGCTAGTTTTTTTATTAATTGTAGAGACGAGATCTCACCAAGTTTCCCAGGCTGGTCTTGAACCCCTGGGCTCAGGTAATCCTCCCCGCTCGGCCTCCCGAAGTGCTGGGATTACAGGTTTGAGCCACCGTGCCCACACTTCTGCCTTTTTAAGAGGTGATTACTACCATGTTTATGGAGCCACGAGCCCAGGTAATCTCTAATCTGTCATCTAGTGTCAGACTTCTGTGGGTTCATTCCTGCATTACTATCAACTTCACCAAACATGCCAATCTCCTCTTGCACAAAGCTCTGGGTAGGTGGATTCACCACAGAACAAGTCGTACCAATGACAAACCTGAACTTCGAGGCTTTACATATCAACAGTGGACAACACCAACATTCCAGTTACAGAGCAGACCAGCTGGAGTTTCAATTGCTCATCCATGGCCTGGGGCAGCCTTTGTGTGGGAATGCGTGTGCATATGTGTGTTCATGGTTTCTCCAGGCTTCCTCCCTCCTGGACCTTCACAGAAGTATAGATGGTGAACTTTGTTTTTTAGAGACAGGGTCTCACTCCATTGCCCAGGCTAAAGTGCAGTGGCACGATCATGGCTCACTACAGTCTCAGCCTCCTGGGCTCAGATAATCCTTCCGTCTTAGCTGGGATCACAGGTGTGTGCCACCATACACGGCCTATTTTTTCATTTTTGTAGGGATAGGGTCTTGCTATGTTGCCCAGGCTGGTCTCAAACTCATGGGCTCAAGAAATCCTTCTGCCTCAACCTCCCAAAGTGCTGGGATTACAGGTGTGAGCCACTGTGCCTGGCCAGTGGTGGACTTTTTCTTTTTTTTTTTTTTTGAGTTGGAGTCTCACTCTGTCGCCCAGACTGGAGTGCAGTGGCCACTCCCGGCCACCGCAGCCTCGATCTGCTGGGCTCTGGCGATCCTTCCGCCTCAGCCTTCCGAGGAGCCGGAATTACAGGCGCGCGCTGCCACGCCCGGCTGATTTTTTGATTTATTGTAGAGATGAAGTCTCGCATGCCCAGGTGGGTCACGATAGTGGTGGACTTTTTAATCAAAGTCACTTGGCAGCTCATAGAGAGAAAGTCAGGGTGGAATGGTGGAGGGCAGGATAGTGGAGTAGAGGAGAGAACACAGATCTGGATTTTACTTGGGCCATGAGTTACCTTAGACAAGTTACCGTAAACCCCAGTCTTCTCATCCACAAAGTGGGGCTAATAATACATCATAAAATACCTACAACAGAAGGTTGATATAGGATCAAATGAGAAAACGAAAGCGTGTTTGCCTACATGCTACGTTTACTGTCTAAAAAGACTAAAAGTTAGGGTGATAGATATAATGGCAATGAATGGATGGCTTGGTTAAAGCTTCACTTTTAATCATAAACTAAATCTCTTTAGAACTCTGTTGAAATGAGAGGATTGGGATAATCTCCAAGGCTCCAACCTTTCAAGACTTCACCCAAGCTTACTGTCCGTCAGATTCTGCACCAGCTATCCCCTGCTGACTTCTGACTTCATCTCCCACTGTCCTCTCCTTCATTCACTGTGCTCCAGGGGTTCTGGCCTTCTTTCAGTTCGTCCAACAACCAAATTCAGGGCTTTCTGCACTTGCTTCTAACCTAGAACTCTTCCACCTGTTACCGGGAGAAGAGTGCTCCTTTCAGTGGGGGAGCTGGGCCAACAGCTGAGTTCTTGTGTTCACATTTGGGAAGAATTCACAGACATGGAGAAGTGGAATAAGTAAGTAGCTTTATTAAGCAGGGAAGAGTACACTCTTAAGAAAGGAGAGGCTGGGCGTGGTGGCCCATGCCTGCAATCCCAGCACTTTGGGAGGCAGACAAGAGGATTGCCTGAGCCTAGAGGTTTGAGACCAGCCTGGGCGACATGGTAAGACCTCATGTCTACAATAAATAAAAATATTAGCTTGGTGTGGTGGCGCGTGCCTGTAGTTTCAGCTACTTGGAAGGCTGAAGCAGAAGGACCACCTGAGCCCAGCAGGTTGAGGCTGCGGTGGCTGTGAGCATGCCACTGCACTCCAGCTTGGGCAACAGTGAGAGTCTGAATCCAAAAAAAAAAAGGAGGGTAGGCAGAAACCCTACAGAAGCTATTACCTCTGCATCCAACTATTATTGAGCCATAACTTTTATTCTTAGAGGTACTAGGGTATAGGTCTTGGGAAGGTCTTTTCATAGAAATGGACGATCTTAGGACTGGATCACTATTACTCCTTCTTCACATCGGGCAGGGGAGTTTTAGGCCTAATAGTATCATACCAGTACTGTCATGGCGCCAGGTGTATGGTGGAAGTGGGAGTTTCCCCTAATTTTGTGCTAATAATGAAGGTAAAAGTAGGTCATGATTGTCTTAGGTTAACCTTAGATATATATATATGTATATATATATATATATATTTTTTTTTTTTTTTTTTTTTTTTTTTTTTAGTTGGAGTCTCACTCTTTTGCCCAGGCAGGAGTGCAGGGGCATGCTCACAGCCACTGCAGCCTCAACCTGACGGGCTTATGTGATCCTTCTGCCTCAGTCTTATGTGATCCTTCTGCCTCAGTCTTCCAAGTAGCTGGAACCACAGGCATGAGCCACCATGCCCGGCTAATTTTTTTATTTACTGTAGAGACAAAGTCTCACATGTTGCTCAGGCTGGTCTCGAACCCTTGAACTCAGGCAATCCTCTTACCTCCGAACCTTGGCTATTGATGTGCATGCTCCAGGGGGTCTCTAAGCCAGTTTCTGCCTTAATAGTTAGATTCTGATCAACCGCAAGCATCCTGGATAGATGAACTGTGCTGAAGGTGTATCTGATAAGGGTCTAACAGGTAGGTAGGTGTGAAGTTTCCTATAGCTAGGCCGTCTTGCTTGCATGCGTGGTTTTGCACCAGCTGCTGCAGACATCAATAGGCTTGGAACTTTCTGAAGTTTTCCTAGTCTAACCTGCCTAGTCTATCACACCTAGATTTTTTTTTTCTTGGCCTGCCCTTCTAATTTAGAACTCAGCTCAGATGTCGCTCCTCAAAGAGTCTTCCCTTCCATCTACTTTAGTAGAACCCATTGTCCCCTGTCACTCTCCATCACATTACCCTATCTTATTTTCCTTACAGGATACTTCGAAATTATCTTGATTCGTTTGTTATCTGTCTCCCAGACTGTTCACTCCTGGACCACAGATGGAGCTCAGCAAGAACTTGACTAAGTTGAATGCATGCATGAATGAGTACGTCAGTGGAAGAATTCTTTCCTACTTGCTTCGGTTTAGGAGCACGTTCTATCCCACTTCACCCCCAAAGGCCCCAGGAACAAAATGGGCAGGCAACTACGCGCACGTCCAAGTCCTGGCAGCAGCCATGTTGCTATGGCAACGTGAGGCTGCGGGGCCGGAAGTGACGTTGCTGCTTTCGCTTCCGTAACGGCAGCACTTCCGGGTTGGAAGATTAGGCGGCCACGTTTTTGGAGGGTAGGTTGAAAGCGTCCTTGTCGCTTTCTTTTGTTTTAAAACACCTGTACAAACCGAGCGGGGGAGGTGGCTGTCCTCGTTTTCCGGAAGACCAGCCTTTGGCCTGAGGTCTCCGGTTGGGGTTGTCGCCGCTGTCTTCGCTGCCGTCCAAGCCTTATCTCAGGAAAACTGAGGCTCCGGTCTTGGGATTAAGAGGATCCAGAGTCCATATCTGGCTAATTCCTCCCCGGAGCGCCCATCCCAGGACAGGGCAGGGTTTCTATCGCGCCCCGAGGGCGGCGAGGGGATCGGGGCCAGGCGCGGGCACGCACCCGGCAGGACAGGAAGTGTCTGTTCCGAGTAAGTGGGGATAAACGCATGTCAATGCATTCCGTGGGTATCGAGCACTGGGGAGCCTTTTGGGGGCGAGACTGACAAATTCTCAGGCCGTAAGATCGTATCACAGTTGTGAAAAGTGCAGTAGGGACGCGGCTGGGTTTTTGGGAAACACTGTGTAAGAAATAAATGGGTTTAAACACTGTGTAACGATGCTCGTAGCAGGTAAGGAATTAGGGAGGTCCTTTTGAGAAAGTGACTTTCATACTTGAACCAGTTAAAGGGCAGAAAGGTAAGCCGGAGGAAGAGTATTCCTGGCCGAATGAGCTGCCTTTGCAAAGTCCCTGAGACGAAAGGAAGTGTTAGTGTATTCTAGAAAATGAAAGAAGGCGGTGTGGTGTCTGAAACCCAGAGGGACATGAGAGGTGAATACGGAGGCGTGGACCAGACCAGATCATGAAGAAATAAAGAGCCTTGTAGGTCTGTAAGGATTTTGACTTTATCTTGAGAATAACAGGGGAACCATACAAGTTTTTGCACAGAGTGACTATATATTTAGAAGGTTGTGCTGGGCTCAAGAGACCAGAGGGAGCAGCTTAAGAAGTATTTACAAAAAAGGAAGCAAGGCACTGACAGAATGTAAAAGATTATTTAAAGGGATCATCCACTCTGCTTGTTGTCATTGAGAGGTTTTGACAGATGGGCCTGAGCAGTGTCTAATGAATTTAGTGGCCTGAAGTTCATAGGCAGTCTCAGCGGAGTAGTGGGGTAGAATCTACAAGGATGTGGGTTAAGAAGCGGATGGGGAGTGAGGAAACATAAAGAGCAATTTCTTTATCAGGAAATGTTAACCACAGGCAGGTGCAGTGTCTCATGCCTGTAATCCAGCAACTTGGGAGGCCTAAGTGAGAGGATAGCTTGAGCCCAGGAGTTCAAGGCTGTGGTGAGCTATGATCATGCCACTGTACTCCAGCCTGGGTCACAAAGCAAGAGCCCTGTTTCTAAAAATAAAAATAAGAAAAGAAATATGGCCCGGCATGATGGCTCTGCTTGTAATCTCAGCACTTTGGGAGGCTGAGGTGAGAGGAGCCTGAGCCTGGGGATTCAAGACCAGCCTGGGCAACTTGGTGAGACCTCATCTCCATAAATCACAAAAATTAGCTGGGTGTGGTGGCGTACGTCTGTAGTTCCTGCTACTTGGAAAGCTGAGGTGGAAGGATCGTCTGAGCCCAGCAAGTCGAGGCTGTGGTGGCCGTGAGCGCGCCACTGCAATCCAGCCTGGGTGACAGAATGAGACTCCAACTAAAAAAAAAGAAAAAAAAAAAGAAATACCACTGTGAAGAGGAGGGAAGAGAATAGCTGGATGGGACTTTAGGGCTAGAGGTGTTTGTTTGTTTTAGTAGAAGAAGCTAAAGATTATTGGAGTGTTGATAGAAGGAAGAGGTTGGAGATCCCAGAAGAGAGACTGTTACTTGGTGAACCATGATCTCTCTGAGAAGGTAGGAGAGGGTAGAATCCAGCACACACATGACAGAAGAAGGGACACTTGTTTGTTGCAGCAAGAAGGAGAGAGAGGATAGGGCAGGTACAAGATTTGGGGGATGGCGTATTTTTTATCTAGTGTGTGTGAGATTGTAAGTAATGCAATTCTTAGAGCTACTATTTACTAACCAGGGTAAATTAGGGACCTTCTGTAGAAAATGTGCTTAGCATTCAGACTTGAAAGTCCACTGACACATTAATCTCCAGGATCTATCATTAAGCGAAAAGATCAGAATATATAGATGTGACCTACAAAAGAAAGGAGAAGAAATATGAAAAGATTATTTTGATTTTTGTACCATGTAAATATATTAGTCAAATATACAGAGCAAGGAAAGGAATAAAACACATTTGCCAAATTATATTTTTAACCATCTTAATTATAAAATGCATCTCTATTACTGTATTTTAATTCCAAATGCATGTGTGCTGAATATGTGGGTTTTAACACAAGAGCCTTAGGAGATTTTATTGTAATGTATTGCAGAATGTTTATCCTTTGTTGGACACTAACAAGGCATAGCCAACTTTTTTCCGCAAAGAGGCAGCTGCTGGTTTGAGGTCAGTGGATACCTGATGCTGCCCGTGAAGTCCTCCTGTGGAGCCTGCACTCCAAGGGAGTCCTGGGACATGGCTCTAGACAACAGAAACACAGAGTGGAACAACACAGACACACTACCTTCCTTCTTCCTTTTTTGATTAACAAAGAAGACAGACACTTGGTCAGGCATGATGGCTCATGCCTATAATCCCAGCACTTTGCGAGGCCAAGGCAGGAGGATCGCTTGAGTCCAGGAGTTTTAGACCAGCCTGGGCAATATATTAAGTCTTTGTCTTAAAAACAAAAGGGGGGTAAAAAAGAAGGCAGGCATTAAATAATTTTTTTTCTTTTTCTTTTTTTTTTTTTGAGTTGGAGCCTCAGTCTGTCACCCAGGCTGTAGTGCAGTGGCACGCTCATGGCCACCCCAGTGTCGACATGCAGGGCTCAGGCATTCCTTCTGCCTCAACCTTCCAAGTAGCTGGATTTATTGTAGAGCTGAGGTCTTGCCAAGTTACCCAGGCTGTTCTCAAACCCATGGACTCAGACAATCCCCTCACTTTGGCCTCCCAGAGTGCTAGGATTACAGGCCTAAGATACCATGCCCGGCCTACTTATTCTAATGTGAGTGCATATTATTTGTTGAATGGGCCAAGCCCAAGGAATGAAGGAAAGCTTTCTTGAAAAAGTGATTTTCAAATCAAGCTCTAAAGGGTGGCTGGAGGCAGGGAGGGTAGGCAGACAGCAGAGAGCATTTCATGGAGAACCAAGGGAAGGATTGTGGCATGTTTGAGGAACCAAAACACAGTGCATGTGGGGGAAGCATGGAGTTCGAAAGGTGAGGTCAAAGGTGAGGTTGTGGAAGGGACAGAGGCCTGACTTGTTCTCTGTTAACTATATTTTTTCTGTATCCTCAAGGCAATGGGACTCAACAGAGGATTACAGTAAGCCTCCTGTGCATTGAGAATAATAGACTATAAAATGTAGAATCATGACTAGGGCTTGTCATTTGTCATACAATTTCATTTGGCTGTGATTTTCAGCCCCTGAGGCTCTTTAAAATGCAAAAATAAACCATTGTTGTCACATTTCCCTATAGGCATAAAATGGAAGGAGAATTGAGCAGATCTGAAATCCATACTCCAGATTTTGACAAAAAGCATTCCGTACATAAGGAACGACAGCACAAACATTCCCGTACAAATTTCAGAGACTCCTCTCTGGTAAGTGAACAGCCTCAAATAACTAAGAGGAAAAGGAAAAGAGAGGCTTTCCAGTATCTCATTTCTTCTCCTTTGAAAGGATCAGAAGTCTGTGATGAGACTGACGAGGCCACTTCTACACTCAAAAAAAAAAAGAAGAAAAAAAAGTCCCAGAATCTCATGTCTTGTCCTCTGAAAAAAACAGAAGTCTGTGATGAGACTGACAAGGCCACCTCTACACTCAAAAAACAAAAAAAGAGGAAATATAGTGCTTTGCAGGTAGACGAGGAAGTGGGTATTGCCCGTACCCTTGTAGATAAACAAAGGATTGAAAACATGCCAGAGACCTCTAGAAAGGCTGTTGATGTTTATGTTGATACGAACAAGGAACAAAAGTCAACAGAAGAATCTGAAGCTGACAAACTGCAGGTAGTCACTAAGTCATGTAAAAGTGAATCAGAGGAACTGTGCAATAAAATCAGGGTGAAAAAGAATAAAAAGCATCGGAAGACTGTTACATCCTATGATGCTATACTGGAAAGCGGGCCGGCAAGAATGACCCTGCCCCAGTCGGAACCACACGAGCAGGAATCCTGGCTTTCTGTGGGCCTAGAAGGCGAAATTACAGAACTACCAGGATCTGTTGATAAAAATAAATCTAAGAAAAAGAAGAGAAAAAAGTCCCAGAATCTCATGTCTTGTCCTTTGAAAAAACCAGAAGTCTGTGATGAGACTGACAAGGCCACCTCTATACTCAAAAACAAAAAAAGAGAAAATATAGTGCTTGGCAGGTAGAGGAGGAAGAGGGAGTTGGGCGTGTCCTTGTAGATAAAGAAAGAATTGAAAACATGCCAGAGACCTCTAGAAAGGATGTTGATGTTGTTTATGTTGATACGAACAAGGAACAAAAGTCAACAGAATCTGAAGCTGACAAACTGCAGGTAGTCACTAAGTCACGTAAAAGTGAATCAGAAGAACTGCACAGTAAAATCAGAGTGAAAAAGACTAAAAAGCGTCGGAAGACAATTACATCCTATGATGATCTACTGGAAAGTGGGCCTGCAAGTATGACCCTGCCCCAGTCGGAACCACACGAGCAGGAATCCTGGCTTTCTGTGGGCCCAGAATGCAAAATTACAAAACCTCCAGGATCTGTTGCGAAAAACAAATCTAAGAAAAAGAAGAGAAAAAAGTCCAATAACCAGGAATGTGAGGCAGTGGCCGTGCCTAAGAGCTTTGAGGGTGTGTACCCTGCAGGACCTCAAGTAGGCAGGGAGGCTGGGACTGGGGGAGGCAGTGATGCACCTCAAGGGGTCAAGGGACTCAGCCGTACAGAGAAAAAGGGGAAGAAAAGGAAGCATACTTCTGACGAAAGCATCGTAGCGTCTGGTGGTCATTCCTCAGTGCTCCGTGAGAAGACTAGGAGCATACTCCTTGATGCACTCGAGGGTGATGGTACTGTGGCTGAAGAAGGTACAAGACCCAGGCCACCAAAGAAGAAACCTTGGACCTGCTCCAAAGCTCAGCGTGTGGGAGAAGTGTGGAGGTACTGTGGGAATGGCGACCTTCTGGTGCTGTACATCTTTTGCGTGGAGCCTGCCCATGGCCCCTTTATTTAGCATGTACAAATTAAGTGGCAGAAATCCTAAAGAGATAGACCATCACATGTACAGAATATTGTACAGATTTGCTTTTTGAGAATTTGTTTGGTAGTAACAAGATCTCACTGTGTCACCCGGGCTGGTCTTGAACTCCTGGGCTCAAGAGATCCTCCCACCTCGACTTCCTAAAGTGCTGGGATTACAGGCGTGAGCCACCATGCCTGGCGTGTTGTACACCTTAAATTGAGTAGACTTGGCAGGTAGCTTAATTTGTTCACATACGAAATAAGGCAGTTAAGTGAGATTTCCAGTAAAAACTATTCCAGCCCTGATATTCTATGAGTGACTTTATAAGCCGCTTTAAAATTCCCCTATACTAGCATTATTTGTCTATATGCATGTACATGGAAGGAAGGATTAGATACAAAGAACTTAGAATTCTTCAGAGCAGCAAAAAACTTGAGTTAGGATTCTCACTAAGAAATTTAGACTTTCTTTTTCTTTCTTTTCTTTTGAGTTGGGGTCTCTCTCTGTCACCTAGGATGATCACAACTCACTGCAGCCTTGACCTCCTGCGCTCAAGCAATCCTGCCTAAGCTTCTCAAGAAGCTGGGACTACAGGTGCATGCCACCACGCCCAGCTAATTTTTTAATTTTATTTTTGTAGAGGCAAAGAAGGTCACACTATGTTATCCAGGCTGGTCTTGAACTCCTGGGCTCAAATAATCCTCCTGCTTTGGCCTCCAAAATTGCTGGCATCACAGGCATGAGCCACCATGCCTAGCCTAGATATGATTATCTCTATAAATGTAATTGAAGTATAATTGGCCACAGATAAATATAAGGACTTTTTTAAAAACCATTTTATGTCATGCCATAGTTCTTGGGACTTGGAGCACATTTTTTCCCCATTTTGCTCAGTGACTTTCTTACCTTTGTGAGGTGATCCTGGCGTAAAAAACCTTCCTATGAAAGTTGAATCCAAGCAACCCACGTGTCAGCTATTGATGATCATTGTAGTGGGCCTACTCATGTCATCCTCTGTGCCATCTTACTGGGGACATTTTCAGAACACTGATCACGAGGTAGGAATAATTAAGGACTGCGGTTCTTAACCTTCTTTGGGGCATAGCCCTCTGAAAATGTTGATTCTTTGCCTAGACAAACGCACACAATCTTTTCAGTTATCAATCTGAGAGGTTCACTGATAGGTTTGAAAATACTAAGGAGCTTTCCACATCGGGCAGAGAGCTAAGGGATGAGTTAGTGACAGATACATAAAAAACTAAGCACTGGAACAAATTAGCCCATTAACTAGCAAAAACACCTATAATTAGGTAAACCTTGAATACTGATATAACTAATTAGTAACCATTATATTATAAAACTTAACTCATTAGAAAAGACAAGAAGAAAGGTGTCCAAGTTCTGGTTGGGTTAAAAGTAGGCTTACCTTGTTAGGAAGTCAGTAACTAAAACCAAAAGGAAAAAAGAGAGAGAGAGAGAAATAGCAGTATAAGCAAATAACTGGTAGAAATAAGGACTTAGGGCCACTCGTTTGCCTTCTAGGCTGCCTCTGAGCTACGTCCAAGTGAATCAAGTTACACTGAAGAGTTTGAAAATCATGGATGGAATCAACTCCAAGATCCCATCTTGATTTAAGCCTCTCATAGGCTAGGCGAGAGTCAGTTTAAGAAAAGCCTAAGGTCGGTCATGGTGGCTCAGGCCTGTAATCCCAGCACTGTGGGAGGCAGAGATGAGAAGATTGCCCATGGTCTCAAGACTAGCCTGGGCAACTTGGCAAGACCTCATCTCTACAATAAATTTTGCAAAAAATTGGCTGGGCGTAATGGGAAATGCCTGTACTTCCAGCTACTTGGAAGGCTGAGGTAGAAGGATTGCCTGAGCCCACTAGCAGGTCAAGGCTGCAGTGCCTATGAGTATGCCACTGCCCTCCAGCCTTGGAGAAAGAGTAAGACTCCGACTCAAACAGAAAAAAGAAAAGCTTAAGCGCTATTAGGCCAAGTGACATGTATGTTAATGTGGATCAGCCTCGTTTCTGCCTTAGGTCAGAGCCTGTAAGTGAAGAAGAAAGGAATTTGGAATGGGCTCAAGATTCTGAAACCAGAGATTTAGCTGAAGATTCAAGAGATTCGGATGATCGTGATGTGGATTTGGGTACCGCCATTAAGCATCTCCAAGAGTTCATCCCTGACATCCAGGACAGGGCCGCCACCACGATCAGGCGGATGTATCGAGACGACTTGGGACGGTTTAAAGAATTTAAAGCACAAGGTAAGCTTATGGGACCTTTGCGTTTGCTGAGCGTTCCTGTGTGCAGAACTGGCACCGACTGTCTTCTGTGAAGGATGCAGATACAGTCAAGGAGCATCTTTTTTAGTTTTTTACTTTTTTTTTTTTTAAGTCATGTTCTCACTCTGTTGCCCAAGCTGGATTGCAGTGGCATGACCTCAGCTCACCGCAGCCTTGACTTCCTGGGTTTAGGCGATCCTTCCACCTCAGTCTCCTGAGTAACTGGAACTAAAGGGATGCGCCACTATACCTGGCTAATATTTTTGTACACACAAAGTCTCACTGCGTTGACCAAGCTGTTATTGAAGTCCTGAGCACAAGCAGTCCTCCTGCTTTGCCCTCGAGCAGCTGAAATTATGGGGGGAGTTGCCACACCCAGCCTATATGTTAAAAACTTTATTTATTTATTTATTAATTTTTGAGTTGGAGTCTCACTCTGTCGCCCAGATCGGAGTGCAGTAGCTGTTCCCGGCCACCGCAGCCTCGACCTGCTGGACTCCGGCAATCTTTCCGCTCAGCCTTTCAACTTGCTGGAACTGCAGGCGCATGATACCACGCCTGGCTAATTTTTGATTTATTGTATTGTTGAGGTCTCGCCAAGTTACCCTGGCGGATCTCGAACCCATGGGCTCAGGCAATCCACTCACCTCAGCCTCCCAAAGCCCGGGATTACAGGCTGAGCCACCGAGTCTGGCTATGTTAAAAACTTTTATTTTTAATTTTTATTTTTTCGGACAAGGCAGGATTTATTTATTTATTTATTTTTGAGTTGGATTTTCACTCTGTCACCCAGACTGGAGTGCAGTAGCCGTTCCCGGCCACCGCAGCCTCGACTTGCTGGGCTCCGGCGATCCTTCCGCTCACCCTTTCAACTTGCTGGAACTGCAGGCGCGTGATACCACGCATGGCTAATTTTTGATTTATTCTAGAGTTGAGGTCTCGCCAAGTTACCCTGGCGGATCTCGAACCCATGGGCTCAGGCAATCCACCCACCTCAGCCTCCCAAAGCCCAGGATTACAGGCTGAGCCACTGAGCCCGGCTGAAAGCAGCATTTATTAACAGGACAGAAATGTTCCCAAGTGGGTGGGGACCTGTGGGGGATGCCCAAAAATTATTTTAAAAAGAGGTTGATGAAGCAGGAAAGGTCATGTAGGAATACAATGACCAGGAAAGACGTTGGGAGAAGAGATGCTGCTTGGGCTGAGCCCTGCAGGAAAGTCCACTAATGGGGGCTGGGAGAGCAAATGTCAAGTGTGCCGCAGGCCCGTGTGCTCTTGTCCTGTCATCGCTAATGGAAGACCTAGCAGCAGGTTTGCTTTTATTCACTCTATTCATTTTTATTCATTATTGACAATACCCACTTTCTCTCCCCCCACCCCAATTCTAGGTGTCGCTATTAAGTTTGGCAAGTTTTCTGCCAAGGAAAATAAGCAGTTAGAGAATAACGTGCAAGAATTTCTAGCGCTGACAGGAATTGAGAATGCAGATAAGCTACTCTACACGAGCAGGTATCCAGAGGAAAAATCCGTGATTGCCAACTTAAAAAGGAAACACTCATTTAGATTGCACATTGGTAAGTTTAGAAACATTCGTTCTTAGACCATCCACAGCCTTCCAGGCTAAAACAAGAGAACTCAAAGTGTTCAACGCAGTGCTTTGGCCCATTCTATGCACAGTACATGTTAACTGCCGCTGTGTCTGACAGTATTCTTATTGCCAGTCTACTTCTGGGGCTTTGGGGTAGCGCTTTCACAGACTTTGTGAATAGTGAAATGATCAACTCCTGTCTTCCCTCTTGGGCAATAATCACAGTTTTGGTTTCTCCTCTTGTTTATTATTGATTTTTTGTGTATTCTACACAAAGCACAGTCTAATATGCTTCATTAAGTTTTGATGGTGTGGCCTTATGGGTGCTGTTAGCTGGAACTCTTCTGCTAGAGGTCCTGCATGGAAAGTTAGAAGGTTGGGTGGACTTGGTGGCTTACGTCTGTAATCCCAGGACTTTGGGAGGCCAGGGTGGGAGGATCAGTTGAGCCCAGGAGTTCTAGACCAGCCGGGGCAACATAGCAAGACCTCGTCTCTACAAAAAAGTTGACTGGATATGGTGATGCACATCTGTGGTCCCAGCTACTCAGAGGCTGAGCATGAGGATCACCAGAGCCCAGGAGGTCTAAGCTGCAGTCAGCCATGGTCATGTACTCCAGCCTGGATGACAGAGTGAAACACTCGAAAAAAAAAGATATCCACGGCACCTGGTGATTGTGTACATCTGCTCTCAAGACTGTTTTCCTTAGCACATAAGAAATCCCCACCTGAACATGGGGTTTAGAACAGTTAGTGTTGTTTAAAAGGACTGTTCTGGATTCCTTGTACAGTTGTGACGTCTCTCATGCCAGCCTCTGGGCCCTTCTGATTGCTTTTCTTCTGACTTCAGGTAAAGGCATTGCCCGGCCCTGGAAACTAATATACTATCGAGCAAAGAAGATGTTCGATGTCAATAATTATAAAGGCAGGTAAGAAAACAGCCTTAGCAGCTTGAGACAGAGCAGTTCTCTAGTCTTTCCCTACACCATAAATAATATTCATAGCAATGCCTGAGTCCAAGATACAGCAATAGCAATGAGGAGAATAAAGAATAGTAGAATGAAATAGGACAGACAAAATTAAAAACAGACAATATTTGCAGCAATGGATTAGAAGTAAAAATCATGGCCAGGCATGGTGGCTCACACCTATAATCCCAGCACTTTGGGAGACCGAGTCAGTAGGATTGATTGAGCCCAGGAGTTGGAGACCAGCCTGGGCAACATAGTGAGACTTTGTCTCTACAAAAAAACAATCAAAAAAATTAGCCAGGCATGGTGACATATGCCTGTCGTCCCAGCTACTCGAGAGGCTGAGACTGGAGAATTATCTGAACCCAGGAGGTTGAGGCTGCTGTGAGCTGTGGTGTGCCACTGCACTCTAGCCTGGGCAACAGAATGAGACTCCAACTCAAAAAAAAAAAAAGATAAACTAAATTTAAATGAATTTTCTTATGACTGCTGGAAAATTTAAAGATCATAAATGGCTTATACTGAATTCCTGTTGGACAGTGCAGGTCTAAAGGAAGAAACATAAACAAGGGAACCCACCAAAGTCTAATGCCAGTTGTGACCACTGCTACGAGAGAGAAGCACAGTGTCCTGTAGTAGTGAATGACAGGGGCCTTTGGGCTGAGGCGGTCAGGGAATCACTCCCTGAAGATGTGCCGTTTGAGCCGCTCTGGAGGGTCTGCTGGCATTGTCCAGGTGGGGTAGAGAAAGGTCACTTCCCTGCAGGTACACAAAGGTCACTTCACTTTGTGACGGAGCCAGGCCTCTGCCCTGGGACTGTGGTGATTGATTGATGGGGTGACCACTATTGTGACATGAACAGGAGGCGATGAGAGCTCTGGTCACTGGTAGGACTTGCTGGAATCAAGTTTCCTCATGGCCTGCCCCATCCAGCCTCTCCCACCACCGCAGTGGACTGCAAGAAGAATTTTTTTTTTAATTTGAGTCAAGAGTTTCACTCTGTTGCCCAGGTTGGAGTGCAGTGGATACAGCAACTTCAGACTCCTGGGCTCAGGCAATCCTTCCACCTTAGCCTCCTGAGTAACTGGAGATACAAGTGTGCCTCACCATGCCTGTATAACCTTTTGGTTTTTTTTTATTGTAGAGACAAGGTCTTCCTGTGTTGCTTAGGCTGATCTTGAACCCCTGGCTCAGGCAATCATCCTGCCTCCATCTTCCAAAGTGCTGGCATTAGAGGTGTGAGCCACTGTTCCCAGCCAGGAAATACTATTTTTTTTTTTTTTTTGAGTTGGAGTCTCACTGTTACTCAGACTGAAGTGCAGTGGCCGCTCCCGGCCACCGCAGCCTCGACCTGCTGGGCTCCGGTGATCCTCCCGCCTCAGCCTTCCAGTAGCTGGAACTACAGGCGCGCACTACCATGCCCAGCTAATTTTTTGATTTACTGTAGAGATGAGGTCTCGTCAAGTTGCCCAGGTGAGTCTTGAACCCGCGGGTTCAGGCAATCCAATGACCTCATCCTCTCAAAGCACAGAATTACAGGCTGAGCTGAGCCCGGCTCAAACCACTTTTTAAAAATTCTATTTTTTCACTAGATTTTTGGGTGCCTTGTGTCATGACTTTAGATCACACGATTTTTTAATTAAAATGGATTTGTAGTGACTTTAAGTAAAATGAAATGTTTAAAAACTGATTATTGAGCTGGGTGTAGTGGTGCATGCCAGTAATCTCAGCTCCTCAGGAGGGTGAGGTGGAGGGATCTCTTGAGCCCAGGAGTCTTTTTTTCTTTTTTCTTTTTTGAGTTGGATTCTCCCTCTGTAGCCCAGACTGGAGTGCCTTGGCACGCTCCCGGCCACCGCCTTGACATTCTGGGCTCCGGCGATCCTTCTGCCTCAGCCTTCCAAGTAACTGGAACTACAGGCATGCTACCATACCCAACTAATTTTTTGATTTATTGTAGAGATGAGGTCTCGTCAAATTGCCCAGGCGAGTCTCGAACCCGCGGGCTCAGGCAATCCAATCACCTCAGCCTCCCAAAGCGCGGGATTATAGGCTGAGCCACCAAGCCCGGCTGAAACCACTTTTTAAAAATTCTGTTTTTTAGCTGAGCTCGGTTGCTCAGCCTGTAATCTCGCGCCTTTGGGAGACTGAGGTGAGTGGATTGCCTGAGCCTGCGAGTTCAAGACCCGCCTG